AAGCCTTTCGGGTGCCTGATAATAGCCCCCCCTACTACTACTAGTTCTTCAACAGAGAGTATACTAACGGGTGACGAAGGCGGAACAAGACGAACGCCGGAGATTAGAAGGAATTCTACGCAGTCTCAAGAAAGAGCAACTCCAACGAAAGGGCTACACATCCACATCCTCTACACAATAGTTCCCCATCACCAGCCCGAAACACCTCCTCTCCCCTGCTCCCTTCGCTCTGTTCGTTCCACCAAACGTTCATTACCATCCCATCGCCCGAAGTGACTACCACCACCACTATGATATTATATTTCGCGGGGCTCCGCATGTCGGGGTTGGACCCCAAAGTGACATACGGGACCCCGTAGGAATGATAATGACGGCGGATAAAATATAATATACAAAAAGAGAAAGGAAAAAGAAAGGAAACCAACAAGTTAAGGGGAAATACTATCGGGATGGGAAAAAAAAGGAAAAAAAAAGGTTGGAGTAAGATTGAAGCGCTTTTTTCTTTTCTTTGCTCTTTTCTCGATATATCTTCTATCCTCTTTCTCGCCTTGCAAGCTCTTGAATACTTTCTCTTCGCTCTCGCAACTGGATTGGTTTGCCGTTTCTTGTCCTTTTTTACTTTTATATATAACTTGTCCGAGTGGAATAATTGTTCTGTCGATCAACTTCTTGGGTTATTGTATCTAATCTATTCTCTCACCTATGACAGCTCCGTCTGCTTGGTCGCGTGGGACCCTCTTCCCCATCTTGACCTGAATGTTACTCCTTTTTCGTATAGTATCATAACAAGCTTAATCCCTGGGTGTATTTGGTATGCACTACAAAACAATGTCCCTCTGAACAATATCGAACAGACCCTTCAAGCAGAGAACCCCGGTATCTCAATCCCGACCTTCTGCTCCTTGGCAATCTTGACAATCTCTTCGGCAGCAATTAGGTCCATGATCGCTAGCCCAACACATTTAAACACCACGTCGCCCAGGTACTTTTCACCAAGGCCGTTCTCAAGGTCGCTGACCACGCTCCCAATATCCATCAAGTCCTCCGCCTTGAGTCCGGCCTGTATCACTTCCCCCGCCTCAACAAGACACGCTTCGACAGAGTCCACAACCACCGTCACAGACTCTCTCCTTAAATACCCAGGGCTAAGCTCTTTCATATGCGGCTTATACGAGCCGATCAAGGAGATATATCGCTCTTTCTCATCCGTCAGGAATTCCACAGGGAACAACTCCACTCTCGACGGCGTGCAGCAGAATATTGCATCCGCCTCGTGGAGCTCATCTTGAACATCCTGATCAATTCCCCCGCCGTACGTTTTCCAGCCTACTCTCGTCCCAGATTCTACCCCGCCACGGAACTTACCCACAAATGCCTCCATCTTCTCTGGGCTATTCCCTTCCCGCCCGATAATGGACAACCTCCCCAGAGTAGGGCACAACTTGAGCAAAAGTCTTGAAATCCACTCTGCCTGTTTCCCCGTGCTAAATACCACTGCCTTCTTCACGGCCAACCCATATCTGATCCTCCCGAGTAACAGCGCAATACTAACACATGCTGTCCTGAACGCGGTGATCTCCTCCGCGTTCAGAACTGCAAGTAATCTTCCCGCAGCGTCCTGCAGCGTGATCACGCCATTCGGTGGGGACGGAGGAGCCGGAGGTGTTGGTAGGGTTACGGATTTTATGGACGTTAGGTTCGGGGTTGAGCAGGGCATTATGAGGGTTGTGTAGTTGGCGATATTATCCTGGAGGGTTTGGCGAGGAGGTTGGGTTATTATGGGGGTGGGTTGGGTGAGGGTTTGTAAGGACGCTGTTAAGGAGGCGATAATGCTGCGAATTGCGGGTGCTGGGAGGGACGTGAGGAGGGAGGTTATGGTAGTGTGAGTGAGGATTAGCGGGGTGGGTGTAGACATGTTGGCGGAGCATATGGCTCGAATCGTGGAGCAGAGTGATGTTGGGAATCAGGCTCGGTTCGGATAAGTTATCACGGGGGCTGTTGCGTGCATCAGCAGTCTGGGGCGGTCGCGTAGGGTAAACTTTGACCCCCAGCATCACAAGAGATCTCTAGCAACTCGCGGTTTGAGCTAAGTCGATCTTAGACCCTCACTAGTAAGAAAATCATAACCCGAGATAGTATCCTGCGATCCTAATCCACCAGTGGGTATGATACTCGAGTACAGTACTCGTACTGGTAAAGCCACAACCAAATTAGTTACCGGTACCGGTAATAGCAAATGCCCAGCTTTGGTTCATGTCACGTGTTCTGCCCCTGCACCTATCAACAGCTTGTAACGAATTCATTGATAAACACTTAATGACGTCAGGATTACAATCGCCATACTAGCATCTAAATTCCATTCCTTCACAAACCCAACCACAAAGCAAGCTATTAGACAAGCAAATGCGTACTACGAGTACAATGTCAAGTACTCCCAATACCTATGAAATAAATACGATCCAAACCCCGGAATACCCCACCTCTCCCTACACCACCCATACATCACCATGTTCCGCAAAACGCCCACCACCAATGTGACCCGCTCACTCTTCCTACCGAATGCCCGGCGGTCTTTCCTCAGCAGATCGCCGCCCCTCCGGACACTACCAGTAGTTCTCGGACAGAAGCCCCCATTGGGCCCCTTGCGTGCCCCGATGCCCCGTCCATTGATAGCACACGTTCAACCGTTCACAAGACTTTCTCCAAGATGGAAGCAAGCGTCCAAAACCAATAAGGTGAAGTCGGAAACAGCCAAACGGGAAGCAGAACTCGAGAAAGTGCTGCAGGAGAAGCTCGAGGCACACCCCGAAGAAGTCACCACGACCAGTTCAATGACGCCCATTTTCGGGGGCCAACCAAAGGTGCCGCCGAGAGGGGAGCCCCCAGACGAGACGGATATGCTTAGGGGGTTGAAGTCGGATTTTGTATGTTCCCTACTATAATTTCTATTAGACAGAGGGGGGAGCTAATTGTGCGGTACAGCATGCTATTAAAGAAACCTTCGCGCTAAAAGAAGTTCCCAAGGAAGTTTACTACATTGGTCTTGGGGGCACGTTCCCATACGCGGCGATATCGGCGTCGACTTTGTATTTGGCTTGGGATATCAACTACGCGCATCACAATGGAGTTGGGTATCCGGTTAGTGCGGAGACGGCAGAGCAAGTGTTGAATTTTATGGAACCGCTACAGGTTGGGCTTGGCGCTGTTATTTTGTCGTTCTTGGGAGCTGTCCATTGGGGGTTGGAGATGGCGGGGTATGGGGGTAAGCATGGGTACAAGAGGTATGCGTTGAGCATACTTGCACCGGCGCTAGCGTGGCCGACAGTACGTTTCCCCCCCCCCAAATGAGTCTTATTTGAGGGATGATGTGGACTCATGAGGTATCGTTAGATATTGCTGCCATTCGACTACGCACTGATCACCCAGTTTCTCGGGTTCACGGGGATGTATTTCGCAGATTCAACGGCGACCGGATGGGGATGGGCACCGCCCTGGTATATGACATACAGGTTTATTTTGACCTTTGTTGTCGGGGCATCGATTGTCCTCTCCTTGGTAGGACGGGGGCAGGTACCTACCCACGTCCACATCCCGTCAGATCTTTACTAATTACCTCGGGCATCAAAGATCGGAGACTCGGTCAGCAAAGTGCCCGGCCCAGCAAGCTACCTCCAAGATCTCCGCGACTCGCAATGGGAGAACCTCCAAAAAGAAGAAGACGAGCGCCGAAGAAAAATAAGGAGACAAGATGCCGAGGAGAGGAAAAAAAAGGCTGCGAAGACAAAACCAAAAGATGACGGCATCGGCGGGGGTGCCGGCGAAAGCAAAGTCGACAAGCAAGCCGTTGACCCAGCAGAACGCACGAAAGGTGGCGAACAGAGAGAGCAAGGGGCCTACTCGGACGATAAGCCAGGTGCTTCCAGTGCCAGAGGGGCAAGCAGCACAGAGCTCGAGTCTACTGAGCCCAGTAAGGAGAACTAGAATACTATAAGACCGACGTCAGAGAGGACGCAGAACACGCAGCCAAGGGGGCGAATACTTGACATGGGGTTCATTTGTAACGAGGGGAGAATGAAATTGGTTCCGCTGTATTTACAAGGTGACGAAGATATGGCGAGTATGAATGGGGAGGGGGGGTTAATTAAATGATTTGTGAACACACTGTGAAAAATCGGGGCGAGTGAGATGCTGTGATTGGTGATATGCTGTTGCGTGCGCAAAAGCGATCTTGGTGCCAAACCCACAAGCAGACCGCAGGCAACCGAATGAGGAAATTTCACCTAATCAAGTTACCGGTCCACTCCCGCACGACGGGAGGTGAGAGCTCTCCGGGAACAAAGTCCCTACCCCATGACGGTTGTCCAAAGGGGTGAATCCAGTGAGTGAAAGCACGCGTAGCACATGTATCAATCGCTTCCCACCATGATGTGGATATCATGCATCCTCCACCCATCCAGGGAGCAAATTAGCCAGAGCGCGCAAAAGCCATTCAACACCAACTTCGAGTTCATTTGGCTAACGTTAACGCGTATCATATCTAGCACGATCAGGGATGAGGAACCATTGAAAGGCCCAAAGCATGGGATTTACAAAAGTAGATGAAAAGCTATGGCCCAATAAATACCGGTAGTAGGAAAGCGCTTGCTTCCAACACTGGCATCAAACAAGCTATCATATTCCGTGGTAATGCTCGTTCGTCATAGGAGTCCTCGTTGCGGAAATTGCTAACGAATTAGATCTCCTTATATAGCCCGCCTTATCGTCCTCGAGTACGATACGGACAACCTATGTTCCATCCCCATCACAACCCCATAGACATTTATATTGCTATCATTGTCACCCCTCCTCTCACTTCCACCAAACACCCTCTCGCGACTTACGGCACCGCCCCGCGGTAATTGCCATCTTTGTTCTAAATCCGGAGTGAATCTGCCACAAAAACTCTGTTTAAATGTTTTCTTTCGATCGAAGGAAATTATAGACTCTTGGGTGAACATATAGTACACCCGTCCAAACCTCTATACGGATATTTTTACGTACTAGTAGTCGAGTTAGGATTTGTCAGTTCTTGATTAAAACCTAGTTCTTGGTGTTAATGTGAGGGCTATTTCTACTGTATCATAGTAAGATAAGCTACTGTGGCTCGAGACTTCCATCACATTTGCTCTCGTTGTTTTCTGGTTGTAGACCTTCGCACATTGATTGTTTTTTTTTTTTTTTCCACAATTGGTTTTTTCCTCTCCTCCTCTCTAAAGTGTAGACCTGGGGGTTCTTTTGATATTGTGAAGAAGAGGAAAGGAAGAAGAAAAAAATTGAAGTGCAAGTATTTCTGATACCCACGGATAGCGACGCAACACCCAGATATTAGCTAAGGTATGGCAGTGATTACTTCCCACTACGGACACGATTTAATAGAGATCACGAGTGAAAACCTTTTGAGCAACATATTGGACGGGGAGGCAAATCAATCAGTCAAAACGCACCGGAAAAGTAGAAATCCGAAAAAGCCAATTGAGGTCCAACACTAGAAAGACGAAACACAGGGGCGCAGGAGGATATTCCCGATAGCACACCATACCAGATTTTCCCTCTTTTGAGCCGAGTTCAGATGCTTTGGTTTTGTCAAAAAATTTCCGCAGTGAGGATCCGAGCAAAATTCACGTATGATACAAAGCGAGCCATTTCCACGTCTGACCCAACGCATTGTTTGAAAGGTTCTCCGAACCCGCATCTCAATACCCACCAGCGCTGCAAGAGACACTAATCCCTTAAGGGAATTGATGTGCGGAGTATATCTACCGCCAGAATCTTCTCAACTACGTCTTGCCCGGAAGAACCACGCCAATTCCCGGCGCCTACAAGAGAGCTCGGACGTAGCGAATTTCGCGATTACCTGTTGTGCTTGAGGCAATCGACACGAGAATTCTACCACCAAGAGAAAAATTGATCCTCCTTGGCTTCCGGGGGGGGGGGTAGATAGTGGCCGTGTAAGGCACATTAAGTTCTATTCCCTATGCCAAGGGCACCCCGTCTAAGCCCAGTCGAATCTTGGCCCCGGCGTGATATGGTGCGAAAATCAATTAAATGTCAGCTCAGCGACAAATATATCCAACCCCAGAACTGCTTTACCCCTCACCTTCTTCCTACATGCGCAGCCCGCAAGCACCTGACTCCAAACGCAACGTCTCCGAATGCCCATAGAGAAGGAAGGATGCACCTTCCAGCCCATCAAGCGAATTCGCCTATCCATGAGTCTCCACGGCTAGACACCTCATCAGCCAAGTTTCCCCCAGTATACTTGGTCACAATAATTCACTCGATTCTTCCCGACTTCACTGAGTACTGTACAGTACCAAAGGTGATAATAATATTATTATGATAGATGCAAGCGCAACGAATAGAATGGGAGGATCAACGCAGAGTCACCTCGAACAGACAGACCCACCCACTCCGCAGAAACAAACTACGACTAAATTTCCTGAGAAACTCCTTCCGATCCATCCATTTATCATACCTGTCGGATATCCCTTCAGCAATATCAGATATTACCGGTATCATACCACTTGTGCATCCAACCACCCAGCCAGCGGAGAAAGGCCCTGCGAAGTAAACGACAACAGGCGTGAGTTGTCCTCCTGACTAAAGTCCTCGGGTCGTGAGCCCAGTCAACGATACGACAGGTATGATATCAAACGTTACTTCCTCCCGGTGGTGTGTATCACTAGGGTGATAGGATCGATCCCGTTCAGCGGTCGGGGTAAGGCAGCCAAGTACCCAGTGAGGCTTTGAGTGGCTCAGGTGGTATGATATGATTACTAAGGGGGATGTTTGATTCGCCTTTGGTTTTTGCAAGGTTAGTGTTTGGCAGTGCATAGACTACCTTACTCAAGTAGCCGGATTGAAATCAGAAGGTGGCTAAGCGAGTCATGCGATAGGGACTTCTAATTCCAATCCAGCCGTTTGAGTATCATACAAACTTCATAAATTAGGGTTTAATCAATGTTTCGAGATATCATACCCAGAACTGGTAAAATCCCAGGCTTTCTTCCCCCACATTAAATAATAATACTATTTTCAGCACTATCATATTATTATTTAAGGCACAATCCCAAATAGATACAAATTGTTTTCTTATGTATCATATCATACCTTGAAAAGGTTCCCTAAAAGTGTTTGGCAACACGTAAATTACCTTACAAACCACGACGAGCCAAACACCCCCTCCCTAACTTCTCGCGTACCGTAATTCTAGAGGAGGAGCGCGCCGGCTAGATTTATGCTTTGGAAAAAGAAAAAAAGAAAAAAAAAAAAAAGTTCCTCCCTGAAAGGGACTATGATACGAGATTAACGAGCACGCTCATTTCTGCTAAAAACCTTGAGCGAATAGCCCCGATTCGTTCACGGCGGAAGGTGTCGAAAAGGAAGAGAAGAGTAAAATTATTCCATAATATTATTATTAACACTCACATCCTTCCCCTTATTTCCTCCTCCTCCTGAAACAACCACTACCCTGCGTACTATTGTAGCTCTTAGAAATTACACGATAGTCCCTACCGACGAGGTGGCGGAAGTGAGAGAGCGAGGGTCTAGTGACCAGGAGTGACTCTGCCGATACAGGACAGTCCGTGGGAGAAGTGGCCTTACCAACTCATCGCACGGCCCATTCGGGAGACTTCCCCCCCCATGAGATAGTCTATTCCTGGGACCTCGCAGGTATGGGTATTGATCGATTCTGGGGGCCTCGTGACTCGATCAGACACTAGATATCACTCGTCCTTGAGTCGCCGGCTTCGGCGGGCTTGAAGGCCCACGGGACGCACTAATAGTTGGCCGAACGACCAACTTGTAGGCGCTATAGCCACCGATTACATCCCTACTTCTCGCCCGCTTGTATCATAAAGTATTCCATACTTACTTTACTCCCAACGCCACCAAACTTTTTTGTCCCTGGATTGACACCCATACATTATTCAAAACCACAGAGCAGCAATTCCAAACTAGGTATCAAATTATACCCCCGCCCCCACCAAGAACATTCCCGATCCCTCAACTCGCCAACCTTTGATACCCCTCCGCCCTACGCTTAACTTCCATCATACCGAAGCACGCAGGAGTATGCACAAGATGGCCCCTCCTCTTCCTCACGAAGCCAGCAAACAATCCCGCGGCGAGTAATACTGCAACAGCACTCACAACAGCCAGATACCTGAACTCTGCGGGCCTCGCAAATATCGCCGTCATAGCATACGATCCCAGCTCGAAAGTATTTTGCACAGAGGCTTCTGTGGCAGAGAAGGATCCTCGATATCCTGGCTCCACTTCCTATTCATCCCAGATTTTCAGTCCCAGTTAGAAGCACGACAAAGAAGAGGAGGGGAAACATCTTGGATAATTATCTGCACAAAAAGATCAAACCCCCAGAGTCCAATCCTGCTAAATATGACTCCGAGAATCAACCCACCAGCCGCCATCTTTGGATCCTCCGAGAACCAGACTGTGCTAACGCCGCCGGCGACACAGAGGAGCTGCCAGTTCACGGACCAGAGGCAGCCGCGGATGGGGCCTACACGTGACATTACCAGCGGCGCGAGCCAGGTCGCGGAGATCTCGAAGAGGACGGAAATACCGCGGACACTGCTGATGTGGAGTGGGGTGTAGCCGGATGCGAGTAGGTAGGTTATCATCTGCGCACCGAAGTTCAGGACTGTGAAGTACACGATTGACAAAGCAAGGGATGGGAGGGCGGCAGAGTGGTGGAGGTATTTTGATATGGGAGTGTATATGCTGCGGAGGTATGAATGTGGTTGTGGTAGTGTCTCGATTCGTTCCTGATCTTCTAGGGGGGCGGAGGCGGAGGTGGGGTGTGTCTTGGGTTCTTGAAGGGCTGGGACCATGCGGTATACCTATCATACCCTTAGCCATATATATCGTAGAATAAGGTGGCATAACCCGAGAGTTAAGCTGACATCGGCAATGGCAAAGCACTCCACGCCAACGGATGCCAAGTTCAATCCCAGGACGACATATATCGCCACGACGGTGGATATCCCGTCGGCCGCCGAAACCGCCAATGGGCCAAGCAACTTGCAGAAAAGGTCGATCCTGCGCATTTGCGAGTTCAAGACTACACTCCTTAGATTAGCGGCACTACATTCTACAAACAAGCAAGCAAATGAACAAGCCCACACCTAGGAGCGCACCCTCATCACCCCCAGCAATTAAAACAACCTACAGCACCAAAATCAGCATACCCTACCGTATCTCCCCACCACAACCACCGCCACCAAAGGAAATAAATAAGAAAACAAACCCAATCCCTCTCAACGGCAATCAAATTCCCCACGGAAGCCAACTTCTCACAACACGCCAACACCGCCAAAACCCCCATCACCAGCGCACCCCCAGCCCCCTTACCCGCCGCTCCGACCCCATTCTTAACCACCAGCAAACCGCCGCAAGACAATACCACCGCAACCCTCTGCGCAACGATCGAAACCCTAACCACCCGCAACCGATCCCCAGAATCCACGTGCCGCCCCACCCATGGCGAGCACAGCACCGCCGAGACCCCACGCACCAGTGCATACAGCGAGCCCGGCAGGAGCGTGTCCGGGTGCAAGTTCGCGATGAACAGGAGTGCACCAAATTCAAAGACTCGGGAGTTCCAGGTTGAGAGGAGGTGGGAGAGGTATAGGCGTAGAGTTATGTTTTTGGGAAGGTGGCGCGGCGGGAGTGGGGGTGGGGGTGCGGCTGGGAGGAGTAGCTCGGTGCCTGATCGAGTATCCTCGCTAATACCTGACCCCATCTTTTGTCCTTTGTCCGGGGAGAGAGGAAGGGTGCTTCAGAATTTTCGTCTTGATGGTGTGAAGCGAGCTGAACCATAGAATATAAATTAAGTTACTTGCTCACCCGAGACCCAGGTTCGGCGAGCGGGGTGGAAAATCATACATTTACGAAATAAAATTCATTCCCACGTGATGCCAGCACAAATCCATCCTGTACGGGGACAGCTCTGCTCCATTGTACTGTAAACTGCAACCCTCAAATTCAGTATCATAACCTATGGCACAAAACAAAAAGGTTTCTTACATACATACACCTAAAGGAAATTCAGTTTACACATCTATCCGTGATCCCCCTCCCAAACAGCCCATCTTATAAGTACACAAAACCCACACTCCACCCCCGAGATATCATTCAGGTCACAAGCGCCTAGGCAAAAACCTCATCATGATTTTCCATCTATGAAACATCCCCACAACCCAAAGAGTAGATGAAGAAAAAAATAAAAAATGACGAGCGCCCAACAATGAAAAACACACACCTCCTTATGAGAAGTAAGAGCAAAAGGCAGTCCGCGACCCAGAAATAATTCCCGCCTACTCTCTTCTTTTTCTTTTGTCTCCATGTTGTGTCTCCGGCGTTCAATCTATGGATGAATATCGGGTGGAGGGACGCTCCGCACGAGCAAAAGGACGAGAGGGGGATCAAAGAGCAAAAACGAAGCTATAGAACGGGGAAAGCGATAGGCGCAGTAGATAGAAAATATCATACATTCACCCATACAATTATGGATAATAAAGAAGGGGGGAGAATGCTTATACTGGCTTCTCTCCAGTCTTTGTATCAACTCCACCCGCCGGTGCCGGGCCACCTTCTAATGTTGGCCCACCAAATACACCCTCGGGGATCTTGATAGGTGCGTTGGGAAGGATTTTCAGCTTATCTGGGAGCTTTTCACCCGCAATGACCTTCCTCATTTCATCCAGGTTGAGGCTTTCGTATTCTAGGAGCGCCTCTGCTAGACGGTCTAATTCTTTGCGATGCTCGGTAAGGATTGAAGTGGCACGCGCACGAGACTCTTCGATAATTCGGCGGACCTCCTTTTCGACGAGCTCTTTGGTCTTTGGGGAGAGATCCTGGTAGCCTTCCGATACGTCGACGTCTCCGACAAGTTCGGACATTCCCAATTCCATAACCATACGGCGGGCAATTCTAGTCGCTTGGCGAAGATCCTGCATGAATTTGTTAGTACGACGAGTTGGTAGAGTAGGTAAAAATAAATCCCGGGGTATACCGAAGAGCATCCACCAGTAACATTCTCAGTTCCATAAACAATCTCCTCCGCAATCTTGCCGCCAAGGGCAGAATCGATGTGGGCAATCATTTGTTTCTTTGACATGGAGAGTCTGTCACCCTCGGGAAGATATGAAGTAACACCAAGAGCCTGACCCCTGGGCATAATTGTAACCTTGTACACGGGAGTGTGGCCTTGGGTTTTCAGCCCAACCAAGGCATGACCTCCTTCATGATAGGCTGTCATTTTCTTCTCTTCTTCAGGGATGACAGCACTTCGCCTCTCGGCTCCCATAACAATTTTATCCTTTGCCCATTCAAAATGTTCGATTCCAACGCTGGTAGCCTTCAGCCTACTGGCCCGGACAGCTGCTTGGTTAACCAAGTTTTCCAACTCGGCACCAGAGAATCCTGGTGTGCCCCTGGCAAGAATAGAAAGATCAATTTCAGGAGCAATCTTGATATTTTTAGCATGGTGCCTGAGAATGGCGATTCTTCCACGGACATCAGGCAACGGAACGTTGATGTTCCTGTCAAAACGGCCGGGTCGGGTAAGAGCCTTGTCGAGAAGTTGGGGAAAATTAGTGGCAGCCAGGAATATAACTCCACTATTAGGGGAGAAGCCGTCCAAATCCACAAGCAATTGGTTGAGTGTCTGTTTAACATATGCCGCATCACGTTCATTGCGTTTGCCCCCTATGGCGTCCAATTCATCGATGAAAACAATAGCAGGTGCCTTAGCACGAGCCTGGGCGAAGAGTTCCCGAACACGCTTAGCTCCCACACCAACATAGACTTCGTCAAATTCGCTGCCGGACATGAAAAAGAATGGAACACCCGCCTCTCCAGCAACCGCACGAGCAAGAAGGGTTTTTCCGGTTCCGGGCGGCCCAACAAGAAGAACCCCTTTCGGCAATTTCCCACCAAGAGTTGAGAATTGGGTAGGATCCTTCAAGAATTCGACCAACTCCTGGAGGTCCTCCTTGGCTTCATCGCACCCATGCACATCAGTAAACCGGGCAGTTTGCTGAGACGCTTGAGCTTCGTTCGATTGGGTTCCGGTAGCTTTCCTCATCGGACCAGTGGCTTCAATGGCGAGAGTAAGGAATACCAATAGGAAATACGCAGTAAGACCAAAGTAGAAGAGGAACTTGACCCATTTGAACACAACCCCGCTGACAGATTCATCAACGACAACATGAATCGGGCTATCCTTGTCAGCCCCACGACCATATCCAGCAGTTCCAGAGGTGCCACGAGAAGTAGCAAAAGTCCCACCGCGAGACTGGGCAGCAATAGCTTGACTAATAGCCTGAATTTCCCCATTTGTCAAAGCATCGTTCTCCACGATTTCATTCCTTCTATCCAAGATCATGCGAGCCTTTTCGATTTGACCAGTGTTTTCAAGCGCCTTGACGTATTTGTCCTCACAAGCCCGACTTGTAGCATATTGTCCAGTTTGATAGCGATCGATAACGAATTGTGGAAGGTTGGCCCGGAGCAGCGTGTCGTAAAACTTTTCCTGGGCAACAACATTCTGTGGGGCAGCATTGGCAGCCTGCTCCGCCCGGTATAGAATATGTTGAGAGGGACCAGGAAGGATAAAAGTACGAGCTTGGTTTCGACTGACAGATCTAGGCGCCACCGGAAGGATACGACGAAAAGAGAAGACCGGAAGAGTAGAGAACCGTCGTGAAGTACCAGGAATCGAGGAAAAAGAAGTAGACCAGGGCTGGGTATTTGATTTCCTGAACGCTAATCTCCAATTAGAAACTACAAAATAGCGATAAGTAGAAATGAAACCTACCAGACTGAAGGATACCAGATGCAAGCAAAGGTGGCCCAGTATATTGAGGCGATCGCAGCTCCGGACAAGCTTTCATGAAATCGGGTAGTTCCGCGGCCGAATGCTAGAAACCATTATATGTCAGGACGAAATATTTCTTCACCAACCAGAACGCCAGTACCGGTAATACCTTAATCGGGGTCGCAGGTCTTCTATCAAAACCAGATGGCACATTTGTGGCCTGAACCGTTCTGCTCGCTGAAAACCTGATCCGAGACCAGGGAGACGCAATCGCGGTCGAGAGACGTAAAAGCAATCCCGGAGGAGCAGTTTGGAAGCCCTGAAGCACATTAAAAAAATGCAATTCTGCAGTATAAGCAAGTACAGGAAAGTGGAGGTAATGTACCTGAAGAGCAAGGCCTATAGGAATCTGAGAAGCCATGTCGGCCCCAGATAAAGAAGTGGCACCCAGCAAAAGCTCCTAAACAGTGTCCGCCGAGATAGCTGCGAAAAAAGGAGGTATCAGGAAGGATATAGATAAAGGAGAAACTAAGTGAAATAAGAAAGAGAAAATAATTAGAATGGTAGAAGCAGAGAAATGAAAGTGGGCAAATAATTGGTCGCTAGAAGCCACCTTGGAGGGGGAGCCTTTTTGAATTTTGCCATCACGACTCAAAAAAAATAGATCAAGATCTGTTGACTAATCCACTCATCTGATAATCTCCGGATCAATCAGTCACGTGCGAGCCTCAAATCTGATGTAATCAACATAAACCTTGCCGGATGACCTCGCGGCCCACGACCTTGGCTCAGCAACCCATCGCCTCTTTGCCCTACGGTTCTCAACTTCTCCTTCTCCTACCTGTTTTAAAGCATCTCCATAAGCTTGCAATGAGTGGGATCATAGAGTGGGCTTTTGGGCGGCGCCAAACACCTGCCGAGAGGCTCCGAAAAGTTTGTTTCCTAGCCACGTGCATCTAAGATTACCTTATCATGCTAATCATGGCCCCCCGGCAATAGCATCAACGAGCTCTCGAAAAGGCTCAACGGGAACTCGACAGGGAACGCATGAAGTTGGAACAACAGGAGAAGAAGCTTATTGCTGATATCAAGCGCTCGGCTAAGAATGGGCAGATGGGAGCATGCAAAATTCAAGCGAAGGATCTCGTTCGCACTCGAAGGTAATTTACTATCACATTTTCGTCATTGCTACGGTAATGTCAAGGTCGGGGAGCTCTTTGACCAGGAGGTGATAGGTATATCCAAAAGTTCTACCAAATGAAGACCCAGCTCCAAGCTGTGTCGCTGCGCATCCAGACCGTCCGCTCCAACGAGCAGATGATGGTATCCATGAAGGGTGCTACCACGCTCCTTGGCTCCATGAACCGTTCAATGAACCTCCCCGCGCTCCAACGCATCGCCATGGAATTTGAAAAGGAGAACGACATCATGGACCAACGACAGGAGGTCATGGATGACGCCATTGACGATGTTACTGGATTGGACGACGAGGTGGAAAGTGACGAGGTTGTCAACCAAGTTCTTGACGAGATAGGCGTGGACATGAGCCAGCTGGTGAGCGATAAACGCCCCCTCCCCTCAGCTACTACCTTAACCGATCACTAACATGCGAGTGGAACGTAGCTTGGGGAAACCCCCACAGGGCTTGGCAATATGAATGCCGCCTCTGAAGGGAAAGTTGCTCAAGCGGTTGGTGCGGACAGCATGGACGATGACCTTCAAGCCCGGTTGGATAGCCTTCGACGTTGATATCTGAACAATTTTGTTCTCCCCCGTGCTTTTATTCTCTTTATGGGTTTGGCGTTCGCTGTTATGTTAGTTGAGCTGTGTTAACTCCTCTAATCGACCTTAGTTGTTCAAGTTTGCTATTGTTTCCTCAGGACGGAAGGGCTGTTCGGGTTACCTTTTTTTTTTTTTCTTCTTCTTCCGTTTCTCGCTTGTTCTCATTTCCTTTCTACCCTATCACGTCTTGTCCTGTCATGTTTATCCCGCTTTTCCCTTCCCTCATCTTCTCCCCTCAGATAAATAAGTTATAGTAGCGAAAAACCACTGCGCACTGGCCATTTATAAAAGAAAGTTATGATTCCCAAACCGACGGTTCTCGGAAAAACTACGGTAGGCTGGGCTGTGAAGGAAAAAAAGAAGCTCGAGAGTTCGCGTAGACTAGCCCTACAAAAAAAAGTAAAAATTTAATAAAAATAAAAATTTTAAATTGGAATTTTCCCCCTATCACCGTATACGAGTACGGTACCGTACGGTATTATGCGGTACTCTATTGCACCCCACTCGATCCTGACTGCTTATGAAAGACCCAACGAGACGAGCTTCCATCCGCCAGAAGCGGCGTAAGGATCCTTCCTTTCATTCCTTCCTTCGATCCCGGGATCCCGATCCACACATGAGGGAACATGACAGGACGGAGCTCTCAACCCCCCCCCCCACCCGTCGCAAAGCAAAAACCAAGAGCACCTCCAGGTTCCAGCAGCCGAAGAAACATTTTTCCTTATTTATTTTTTCTTTTTTTTTCTCCCCTTCTATGGAAATTCCACCCCTTCCCGCTTTTTGCATGCGAGCGGTCCGAGTGGTTCTATCTAGCCACATATGACTGCAGTCCAGACCGCCCCGCGCAGACTATGTCTCGGAACTTACTCGAGTATCCATCCACCAGTGACACGGTAGTCACGGTGAGAAGCTGCTTCGACCCGTTGATTTGGGAGTCCGCTGTCGAAAATAGAGAGATTGCTGTTGGTCACCACGTAGAGGATCGGGTTTGGTCAGCGGGGAGGGAGGGAGAGGAAGGGAAGGATGGGTGGGTTAGATTTGCGTGTCCTTGTATTTGGGTTTGACGAAATGACAGATTAGGCGAGTGAGCGGTTGTGATGTTGTACCGGTGTGCTTGTGGGTGAGAAGATTGCTCCGTACCCTGCCCTGCTTAGCCTTACTCGAGTACCTTGCTTTGTCTAAGTTACGGCACTTTAATTACGATAGTTTACGAATCGGATATGGAGTGCACTTTTTACTATAGGAATTCGTTTTTTTTTTCTGCGACCGGGGAAAGCGATTCTGTGCTCGAGTACTTCCTGCCTCTCTCCTTTATGGCCGAACTCGAGGCAGCGAAACAGGAGTCTCAAAGGCTGGTTGCAGCACCGTAATCCACATCGGAGCGAGAACACTGTGACTGGAGAAGGCCCATACCGTACTCGTGTACAACCTTTATAGGACAGGGATTACCTGCATTTGGGTAGTAATTCTCGCTAAATCCGTGCTTTCTTTGCCATAGTCTATGAATGAATGCAGTCACAGCAGGCTCGGATCTTATCCTCATGCGTCCTCACTCGCTACAATAGCACCGTAGCATGGTGGCACCGTCGCACACCAGCCTGCTTCGCCTCATTTGTGGGTGCGCTTAACCTGGATCAGCAAACCAGGAAATCCCAAGGCGCAGATATTTACCGTCCACAAATGGAAAGAACAAGAATGGAAGGAAAAAAAACCACCACATGAATAATTCCATCCATTCTCAGTTCATTCCAGCGAGGGGGGGAAAGCCCAGACATATTTAATCAGCGCAACCAGCCCACTCAGATGACCAAATCCCCATTCTGAAATATACTCTATTGTATTCACAAGGTAGGAGGCAGGCAGGGAGAGGTTGGACCCATCACTCCTCTTTCCCACTGCAGCAGAGAAACAGTCGAGTTTCAGGATTCCCGCTCTAACCAAAAATAGGGATGGCAGGGGTAACTTGACTGTGCTCGAATGCGTTGCTCCAGGCGCAACGGGTGGAGAACAAAGTAATTGATCGACAGGGCCACATTCCACTTTCGGATGACAATTGAACGCGCGCGTCGCAAGAGCTGGTTTAGCTGTCAGGGGGGGCTGAGATGGGTTGGTGGGAGAGCATAGCACAGGTGTCAGCCATCATACAAAGTGGACCGGGACTAGCTTACGGCAGGGCAAGAGTACGAGTACTCGATTACGTTTTGTTCTGTTGGGACTTATGAGCCCCTTTTGCCACACACTTCTACTACTCGTACAGTACCGCATATGGTACTCCCACTTGTATCATACGAGTACTCGAGTAACCCCCCCCCCCCCCAACCCATACCGCTGACTCGCTGAAGATCAAGGTGACAACGGGAATGGGAAGGAGGTGGGTAGAACAGGGGGTGGGAAGGCTGGAAGGGAGCAGGAGGAGGAGGACCAAGTGTAGGTACAAAAGGTCTCACCGCCGCCCGGAGGGAAAGGCCTTGATAAAAGCTTCAAGATTTCTCTCTCTTCGTTCGTTCTTTATTTTCCTATCTTTTTTTAGCTTTCTTTCATTGTTTTCCTTTTGAACTATATTCTCCCCACCCTACTACCCGTTTCCTACATAAAGCATCTACGGTACGCTTACGAGTCCCATTTCCTCATATATATTTCCTCCTCCATCCTCCCATAGAATAGACATCTACCAATCCATCCACCTTGCTACTCTCTACAAACACAACTCGATTAATTCCTTTCATCAGTCCATTGAACGGGAAAGAGCCAGCATGAAGTCAACTCAAGTCCTCGCCGCTATCCTCCTAACCTTCCTCCCGGTGCTGGCTACCGCCCAAAGCAACACCACCACATCCGCCGCAGCATCTACAAACACCACCGGCAGCTCAGGGCCCACCTCCCTCCTCCCAACCGGCCTTACAACTGCCTCATCCGCGAACACAACGGCCACTGGCAACTCGGGTAACAATTCAACAGCCCCGACAAGGACCTCTACTGGCGCCAACAATTCCACTATCACCTCCTCCCCGGGCAAGAACGCTACCAGTTCCGGAAGCAAGAACGCCACTACTACCGCCAAGCCTTCCGGGGGGAAGAATAATATCACCACCACTATCGTCCGGAGTAACAGTGATGGGTCGTTGTCCACAGAGACGAGTGTTATCGTCGTTGAACCCTCCGAGACTGGTGGTGCGAGTGGGGGTCCGGGTGGTTCCGGCGAGAGCGGGTCCACGACCGGAGCCGGAGGAGCCCAGCCCTCTGAGTCGGCTGGCTTGAACAGTGGCGTGGGATCGGTACGTGCCGGGTCGGTTATCGGGAGTGTATTGCTGGCCGGGGGAATTCTGGTTTTCGGTCACCTCGTTTAGGGTGTATGGGGTTGGTAGATTGATGGGAAGGCAAAGTTTGCATTTTTTTTTCTTTTTTCTTTTTTTCTCATTGGAGAAAAAGAATGTAATTGTACACCGTTGCTCTTTAATCATTGGACCTTTTCGTACGGGGATTTTCCCGTAAAATTGTACAGTAAGGGGAGCAGATTGGACGGTCGAACGCAACCGGTTTCTAGATGGGCGGCTCGACCACGGTCGTCAACTGTTTGACAGCTCTCAGAAGGGCAAATATCAGGTCGGGATGGCAACGGGGCGGGGGGGTTAACTCTTTTTTTTTTCCTTAATCATTATTGGGGGTGCATTATCATCATACTGGGTCTTGCTCATTCAATTTTTCATTTTTCATTTGTTTTTGTTTTTTATAAAAAATCATTTCCTCCTACTCGTACACTTGTACTAAACTTTTATCGATTATCCACAAAGCCAGTCATTCTTTGCAAGAAAAACTAATCGATCAAATCATCTTACCCATCGTAGAAGGGAGAATGGTATCGCGTCCCTACCACCGGTGTTCCAAAGTGCTACTATGGACCAGCAATCAGCCGTCGCATAAATCCTCCGAAGGAATTACAAGTACTGTACTTAGGAACAGCACCGCACCAACCAATTTAACATCCAGGCACCGTCATCAAACGAGCCCGTTTGACTTGGCTCCGCTTCGTCGCTGCCGCCCGTGAAACCGGACGGCTCGTTTCGTTCGTTCGTTCGTTCGACGTGTGCGGTACAAGAACAGTAAAGTAAACCACTGTAAGTTTCGGACCTTTTTTTTTCTTTCTTTTTTTTCTTTTTCTTTCTGCATACTGTTGAAGACGTTTGGGGCGTGATCTGCCGCTTTCTCTTTCTTTTTTGGAGGGGGTTGGTTGTTGTGGTAGGCGCTCGGTACGAGTGCAGTACTGGTACATACAGCACGAGTACAGTACGATACAGTAATGGTAGGGAGTGAAGGGGGGCACACACACCCGCATGGAAAAGTCGGAGGTTCAATGGTCTTGGCGGTATTGCCCCTGACAGGGAGAGAGGGAGAGAGAGAGAGGGAAGGGGAGAAGGGTGTGATGATGATGATACGAACTTGATGGAAGTAGCCTTCACGAATTGGTCGTTAGAGTTTTTATATATATCATAATCATAACTTGTAATGACTTATGCGAAAACCGACCGGACCGGTTATGATAACTTTTAAGCGCAGACTTTTCCAAATGGAATTATTTCACTCTAATTCTTTTTTTCCTCTCACTCACGCCAGACTGGTACGATACTTGTGCTTGCACTTAAAGTCTGACAAGACAGGAGGTTTTGAAAGTGCCTGTACTGTACGAGTACTGTACTAGTACAAATACTGCAAGTTTTTTTTTTTTAGTAATGTCCGTCTCCCGGACCCGGTAGCTTACTCGGGTACTGTACAGTACTCGTAGACTGCATATATATGATACCTTGGCAGTGGGGGCCAAAAAGCCTCCCCTAACGAAGAACGACAGTTGATACTTATCATACTCGTTTACGTTGATGGTCTATCCACCGCTCACAAATCGAATATTCCCAGAACCCATGGTGCCTACGAGCAACTATGTAAATATCATAGTGCCAAGCGGCGTGGAGCGCTGAGTAAAGTTAGTAATGCCCTGAATATTATGATAACTTGTAGTTCTGGTCGCTGGCTGTGCACGGATTTACAAAGTAGAAATGCCTACGTACTAAGTACAGTACTCGTACCGTACACTCGTAATGTCATGACGTTTGCACGCGTGGGGCGGACTCGAGCAGGGAATTAGCTAGGTAGTGGTGTGTGTTTTTACAGAGAAAAGAAAAAAGAAAAAAGAAAAAAAAAAACCGTCACAACATTACGAGTACTGTACTGTACTTGTATCATACTATTGTACTTCTTCGAGGATCGTGGAGTGGAATAGGAATGTGCGGTGGTGTAATGCACTATCCTATCTCATCATCGAGTAATTTTCTTTTTTTCTCTTTAGTTGTTGTAGCTATCCAGTCCACGGGGAAATATTACTCGAGTGTTGGTACCGGTACTACCGACAGGGGGGAAGGGGGTAGACTATGATGGGTATGATAGGAAGGAAGGAAGGAAGGAAGGAAGGAAGGAAGGAAGGAAGGAAGGATAGCAAGATCACATGACCAGCAGAGGCGGTGCTTCACAGCACTGTTTTCGCACCTGGTACGATACTTGTAAATTATACAACTCCTATCAGGACGACGGAAAGAAAAAAACCAAAAGTTTTTTATGTTACACCGGTTGCTAACACGATGCCCACTGCGAGTGTAACATACAAAACTTAGGTGCTGTACTGTGCAGTACCTCCGTAGAGATGCCTCATAGCTCTGGGATGGTGCCGGGTGCTTTCAAGATCTGGAATAATAGAACCACAGGCTAAGCTGAGCTGGGGCATTGGACTTTCTTTTTCTACTTGTATCATACTTGCAATACAGGTATATCTTAGAGAAGGGCTGAGCGTCTTTCCTTTTACTGGGCGATTCCCTGTGTATGATACTTGTACTCCAAAGGAGAAGCACAAGAAGCCCTATGATGGGGCTCAATTACCCCGGCTCTTATGACCATGGTGTGTGGGTTTTGGCGTACAGTATCGCACCGGCCGGTACACTCAGGATCATTGGATCGTGATCCACGTAGGGCTGAAATAACAATCTATTTATACCCGCGGTGGGAAATTGCGGTGGGCGAAGCGTGATCGTAGGAGTACCGTATTTAAAACAAATTGGGATCCTCCCTCTCCTTCTCCAAAGTGGAGTGGTTTGGGAGTGGAACGGATCAGCCAATGTCTTGAATTGCCCGCTTTGATGGATTGGATGGCCGATGTGAACTGGAGACATCGGATAAATTACCGGTGGATGAGAGGAATTTTTCAACTGTGAGGGAATTCTGTAGCCGGAACAGGAAGACTTTTAGTAATGGTGTTGCTGATTTGCTAAGAGTGGGTCACTTTTTCACATGTTAATGCCTTGGAAATCATCTATTGGTAGTCCTATGCTCCTACGATAGAAGACCTTTTTTCTGTTAATAATCTTTAACTTTATCCTGTTCGGACATTCTAGGCCACTATACCATACCATATTCACCAGTCTTGCAAGCCTCTACCCGACCACTCGAGTAGAGTATCTCTCTCTCTTAGTCTAATTCCAACTTTCGTGTCGACTCACCTTCAGACTCCGAAACTTTCCCATCAACATCACCTCCCAACACGAGCCCTTTCTTTATCGAGACCCCTATTCTTAGAATATCATTCACTACAGGCATCCGTGACAGCAACGCGGGGAATTTCTCACGATAACAGATGGTGTGGTTTTATCATAATATTATGAAATTGCGAAATACGTTATATCAAGAACGCTCAAGAGGTTGCTGTATTATATAACCTGGGAGGAAATCGTGTTCCTGGCCCCGACCACTTGTTCCCCCTATACAGACCGGTTCAATCATTTTAGTGTGAGGGGAGGCTATCTACACTCCCAACTGCTATTCAGGATCAATGGGGGCAAGGGAATACATTTATCCTGTTTTTTATTTATTTATTTACATTTTTCACGTTTCCCTGCCGGTAGGTGAATTTGCCTCTTTTTGTTTTTCGAATGGGCCTATGGACGGAGATAGTGCGATACTAAACATCGAATGCATTATGGGAGCAGATGAGATCCATCTTCGGGAGGAGGGAGATTATGAGCACTAATCACTGATTTGTGATAACCTCGCTCGGGGTACTGTGCCCGGCTCTCAAGTCGGGAATCACGAGTTGGAAATGGGTAATAATTATGGAGGCAGCGCTCTGGGATGGAAGAGTAACTTATTGCGGAATTTATCAAGAAAGTACGAGGTCTTGCTACTACTAGTTGTGGTAGCTGGAATTTTCGACCATTATTTTTTGGATATTAGCTACAAAGTCGGGAGTTCGAGATCTTAATGTTCATAGGATATCACTCGAACATTTCTCATGATCTCGGTTCTTCCCAAAGAGTGGGCGGCATTTTAGGCCTCCATCCCACTAAAATAGTAATCAAGCTACTCCATCTAACCCAGGGGGTTTTAAAAAAAATCCACAAGGGGAGAACTACAAGCGCAAGATGATATATCACCGCCTCGAGCGGCCTATGCAAGACAAACGTGAGGGTCTCTCTCAGAGTACCAGAGCACATGCATACTTCCGGAGCGATAGGGGAAGGAGAAAGGAAATTTAGGCGATATACCGCAAGTGATTATTCAACCTATCCTTCACTGTCATATCCAACATAAACATCGAAAGAAACCGCACTAACATTGACCCTGGGCTGACTTGGAGCCTCGGGCGGATCCTGAATCATCTCTGGTGTTGCCGAACTTTGGCCAATGCTTTTGTGCGGAAAGCTGGATGTAACCCTACTGCTTGTCTTGCTAGTTTCGTGTGCTGGTATGGTGGAATTTGGCTCGGTTTGATATGCATTGGATCTCGGGAGCTCCTCTTCGTCAGCCGTAGAGTCCATATCTGCTGGTCGCTCCGGCACCCCGTGGTTTGATTCCGAAATCACAATAGCCTCTTCGAAGTGACTCTCAAACGCTTGGCTATCTTCGACCCCACTTTCATCGTATCCGGGAGGTTCTGAAAGCTTCACGGCCGGAGTGTCTTTTAGAACAGGCTTGTGCAGGTTCTCAGGAGGGCTGGGGTTTTCAAACTTTGCAGATATCAGTACTTATCCCCTGGTGGGGGGAGAGAGGCGCACGTGGTGGGATATCTTGACTAGCGGATCAAAGTATTGGACTTCCTTTATCTTCGCCATCTCGGGTGTCTTGACAACCCGATACTTGACGGGGCTCCCATTCACGGTTTTCTTTTGGCGCCCGGTACGGGTAGTAGAAATTTGTGCAATGAATCCTTCTTCTAAAAGGCGCCTTGTAATCTGTGATGCTGTTGGTAGGTCACACCCTGTTCTATCATTAACTTTGTCCGGACCGAATTGAGCAGTATAGGAACAGCCTTCAATAACATACCAAGACCATTTGAAAAAGCCCTGTTAGTCGCTGGAAAAGAGCCCTTGTCCCAAACAAGTTTCACAGCTTTTCGAAACAACGCCAACCCACGCATCTCTTCTAGCAGCCTTTCCTCAAACTTGGAAAGAAGACAAGAATAGCAAACCTGATTATCCGGGATGCGTGGGTCTTGGGTCGAGGTAAACCCATAGCATTCCGTATGCTGCCAACATTCGCACAAGTCACAACATATCATATCCTCCGATAATTCTTTACTACCGCATTCACACACAATTTGGTGGTCGTCCGCCCGCACTGCTCTCGTAACCCCCTTTCCTTTAGCTTCAGTGATCACCTTGTTCTTCACCAATTCTGCCTTCTTTGTGTCGAGCATCTTCAATTTATATATCTTAGAAGGCGCCTCTTCGGAGAGGTTGGTGTCTGTTGACGGTATCGTTGCTGATACATCTTGAGGTCTAGAGAGGTGTCTCCCAGTAAGTGTTCTTAATGAGATCCGCTGCTCAGGTAATTGCCTCGAGTCGGCTGTAGTTGCCTGTTTGTCGGCCCTAGGGGGTCTCGGGGGCTTCTGCGGTTGTGTGGCTAGATTTTCCGGTCGAAGGCGAGTGTCAGTATTGGTGGAAGGTCGGGGGGAGCACTCTACAGGCGGATTTTGAGTTTGCTCAAAACCGAGATTACAAGGCTGCGTTTCAGGTATCTCGCTACCTCGATCAGATGGCACAAGCATTCCTCGAATAGCCAACCTCTCTTGTGTTTCCCGTCCAGGTAGTCGGCTAGTTGGGCCGGATTTTGGTGGCATCTGGGTGTTATGGCTCGTATTTGGAGCTACTCTCCGCTCTTCCACAAATCCGACCTCACAGGGCGGAGAGATGATGGCTGGAGACCCTTCATTTGTGTTGGGTATTCTGTGGGTGTCTGATCCTTTTTTTTCATCCTCAGACGACCTACCAGACCTCAAATGGGGTTGTACTATGTCCGTGTCCATGGTGATAAACCTTGAGCCTCGCCGTCGCCTCGGCCGTTCCTCCGGATCGACTTCGCTCAGGCTAGATACTTTAAGGGCAACACTGGGCTGGAAATATTAGCTATATGACTTCGAGATTCAATAACGGAGCACGGACGTATGATATCCAGCATTCAGTTCACCACAGTCGAGTTTTTCAACTGCCTTAGATTCGTTCTCACGGATTCTGAGGGGGAATGCAGTGGGTGAGAGTCGGTAAAAGTTTGGCGGATCATAATCCTTAGGGGTCCCGTCCAGGTAATGCAGGCGAATGGTGAGCCAGCGCTTGTCTTGGTGGAGTGAGTCAGCAGTGGCTCATAAATTAGCAATCGGAGTCTTCGTAGATCCTTACCAGGGAGCGGGGGGAGATTCTGCAAACGAAGGTCAATAAGTTAGATGTTTTCATGAGGAGTAGTAACTCACCTGAGTAATGACTATAAGTCTTCTGATCATTAGCTGGAGGTTTTTATTTGCATCGTTGGCGGTGACACCATGTCCATGCATGTCTGTAACCTTAAGGCTAATGGAGGGTCCATCATCCTTTTCACGATAGGTAAAGGAGAAGGTGTACGACTCCACCACGGTGTCGGGGTGTTTATCATCGGGGTATATTGCTAGCTGGACTGCCTTGAGATAGCCTCGGCGAAGGGCATCAAAGATCCCGATTTCCTACCAGGACAAGCGGTTAGGATTGCTTCAAAATAAAACAATATTTAAAAAGAACGGGAGCTTTACAAGCCAATCAAGGAGTTGGTCTGCTTCGCATGAATACCCTCTTCTCAGCCTCTTGATGCGAGTCCCGTTATTGCCCTTCTTGAAGAACGCTTCATCGTCAAGGTCACTCGTAAATGAACGATAACTAACTGCAGTTGAGGAGCTGCCTCCGTAACGTTTTTCCACAAAACATTCTTCTGGAAGAAGGCCTCTGATAACCACAATTGAGTTTAACATTATCCACAAAGTGCAAAGCGATCGAGATTATGAACATACCGAAGGAATGAGAGACAACCAATCTTTCTGGGGTCAGCACTTCGTTTACACCTGTACATCAGCCATCGGTAGATTAATAAAAGGCTTACCGAGGCTCCAAGCAAAGTCTGAACAACTTCTAAGCTTTGCTCAAGTTTGAGTTGCTGATCCAGACTCCTAGTAGAGCTCTTGCTTTGCAAAACCTCCCGTACCTGAGTTTGTGGTTGCTGAACCCTTGGGGGCTTGGTAAGGAGAGCTTGCCCAAGTGCCATGTGAAAGAAAATATCACTGATCCTCAATGTCTCGAATCTTGCAGTGGGTGTAATTGCGGGAAAATACGACAAGTGAATATATGAAAGCAGAAATACAGATCTGGCAAAGTATGATTATGTGAAGAACCATGGAACGGAAATAGGGAGATGAAAGAGCAGATAGAAGTGATGAGAATAGAAAAAGGGAGTGAAGTAGATGAGGGGAGGAGTGGAAGATATTTGTTACTAGGGATTACTGTACCAGTAGCGGTGGAAAGCAAACACGGCGATCCCGAAAGGCTTGGGCAGTGCGTGTACTGCAGGAAAATCACACATGAAGGACGCTAGAGCTGCGATCAAGGGCGAACACTCATGTCATGCCCTACAGAGTCCTGAAGAATGACATTTACGCTGAGCATTAAGATGATGGGTTTTGGAAATCATAAATATTGTTCGTACAGTACAGTACAGGCAGTTGGCCGTTGATCCTTTGTACAGATATAAGATAGATTGAGGCGGTGTTGCAAAATGTATTATTTGCGATATAAGCAGTGGCAATATACCCCCACGGTTGTCCAAGTTTCACGTCGTATTCCCAACGTACGAGTACATCGATGTCTCCGGGTAGTGTGTGATTTTCCCAGTGTCAATACTTCCCCTGAGGGTAGTAACAGAGTGATAATCCGCGATTAATCCCAGGTCGGCCTGATGTTCCAATTAGTGCACCAAGATAGATTACAAATAAAAAGGCGGGGTCGGCGAGACCAGTGATCCATGTTACTGCACTCGAGAAGACTGCCTGTTCCACATACGAGTATTAAAACTTCGTCCCAAGCTTCATTCAAAGATATGTTAATTCCAAAACCGTGGCTTGAGTGACCTCTCAACATAGAGAAATGCTGATGATAGTCTAACTTGTCCTACAAGGAGTCTACCGTAGTATAGGTCGTACCATAAAAAGCCTTGGCACCAGTTTGCCCCAATACGGTAAAGTACTCGCACTGTGCAGTATTGTACGGTCACTTCCTAAGCCATGCAATCACCCATCATGCCACCACACAGCGTATCGATAACACTTGTCTAGTACCGTAATTTAGCTGACCCCGCCAAGCTGCCATCATCAACATCCATCCCTCCATCCCCTCCACGCCCATCCCTTCCTCCCTTCCTTGCCAAAACCCACCCAGAACTAGTTAAACATCTAAGTTTATTTCGCTTCACACCATCTCCCTGAGCTCTTCTTTTCTGTACTTTACAACTTGCGAGCACCCCTTTTGCTACCCACGGCAATATCCGTGCCCGAGTTGGAAGTTGAAGGTCTGTTTGCTCCCCCGTCCGAATGAGATACTTGGTTTTCTACTTGTCGGTATCTAATACACCACGACAAACAGTAGCGACGGTAGCACAGCAAAAAGGTACCCTAGAAACAACAGAGGTGGGAGCGAAGGAAAACCTACAATCATGTCTATCAAGTAACTTCCCTACTCCCTCCCTCATCACTATCCCCCACCCATAGCAGATACTAACAATTGACCGTTTGAAACAGCTGGGTAATGCTCTCTCCCACCCCGCCACACACATTCATCGCCCTCCCAAACGAGCGGTCCCTCTACCAATCCCCAGCACGCACGGGGATATCCTTAACCACCACATCCCCACACCGGGGTACTCGCCCCTTATCGATTAATAGCAATACCGGGACAGCATACATAACAAACCAACGCATAATCTACATCCCAACTGCCAAAACCTCCGACTTTGAATCCTTTGCTTGTCCAATTGCGAACCTGCATGATACACACGTGGCCCCGCCATTCTTTGGGCCGAATGTTTGGAAGGCCGTTGTCCAGCCTGTTGCTAATGGCGGACTGGGAGGAGGGGACAGAGGGGGGGTGGAGTTGAAGCTGATTTTCAAGGATGGCGGCGCGTTCGATTTTTCTACAATCTTTGAGAGGTTGAAGGAGAAGGTGCTCAATGCTAGGGAGACAGGCGTCAGCGCTGAAGCAGTGCATTTAGATGAGTTGCCGACGTATGAGGATGCTAGGACCGGGCAGCCATCCTCTTCTGTCACCACTGCCGGCGCTCCTCCTTCGCCCGCTGCAACCGCACCTGCAATGGTGTCGGAACCACCTGAAATTACCGTAATACAGGCGGACGCTGACCCCTCTATCCCCAGTGGTCCTCCGCCCGGCTACGAAGAAGCTCAGCGCGAGTCTGTCGCGGAAGAGCTCGAGAGACAAATTGGGCAAATAGCCGACGCCAGAATTCAGTAGACAACCTTTTTTCCCTCCTACTTTTCGCGTTCTTCTACTTCCACTTTTAAAACTTACTTCGTTCTGCGTCCCTTTATTTCCTTTCTTCAATTGGGATTCACTTAAACCGGTTTGTTTTCATAGGGACGCCTGGACTGGCTTGGGGGCGTCAGGAGATAAAATTATCACTGTCCGTGCTGAGTTTTTTCCTTCAACTCCCTGCATACTATTTTTACTACCCTACTTTTTTATCTATTTTCATATCTCGCTTGAGGGTTGAGGGAGGGGTGAGTGTAAGATTATCATAAGTTGACCGATTGCGGATTACCGGCCCACCGACCTTGCCGTTGCCAAATGTTTGCAGAAGAAAAGTATATAGTTTCGAAAGTGAAATGAAGCATGACCCCCCCCCATAGATCACCGCAAATCACTTTTTAGTAACCCAAACCTCAACAGTACTCGTCCTCCTCCTCCTAACATCCTCCCCCCCCTCCTCCTCCAGCCCTTCCCCCTCCCCTCCCCCCTCCCCTTCCACATCACTCTCCTCCCACTTCCTCTTAAACCCGCCAACCTCAACAACATCATCCAAAACCTCTATATCCCCTGTACAAATCCTAACTCCTTCCCCCTCCTCCAAAAAGAACAAGCCCACCTGCAACGCCTTCTCAATCGCCCGACCACTAGCCTTGATGAGAACCTCCCCCGGCGCACTCCCGAGAAGCACTCTCGCACGTTTGATCGCCGAGACGAAGGGTGTTCGGTGGGATATGTAGATCGTTTTCGGTCCTGAAGAGGTGGAGGAGGGGGGGGGGATTGGAGGGTGGAGGAGGGGGCGTTTGTGGAGTTTTTTATCTACGTCTGGCGGTTAGTTGGGTGCCAGGGGGGCGGGGGGAGGAACGTACGTGCTGGGAGGGGGGGGGGAGGTGGTGGCTTTTTGTGAATAAAGGAGGTGGGGGGGGGATTAGCCATTTTGTATATCTCGGGGGGGGGGTTGTGGGGAGTTTGATTGATGATCCCTTCCTTCCTTCCTTCCTCCCCTTGCAAGGTTGTTGCTGTGCCGGAGTATATAAACGGGTGTTACCCGGATATTCTCTTCTGCGGTGCCTTGATCTTGGTTTGCCGGTACAATTTTTATGAAGCGGATCTCTGAGTCGAATCGCCCTTGTGGCAGTGGTTGTTCGGCCGAGGGGAGTGTTGGTGTAAGGTGATGGATGGTTGTAAGGTGCGGGAGTGGCTTGACTTATCATACCGGTATAATACTCGTACCTGCCTGGCAGGTGGATCGATAGAGTACCGGTAGGGTTGTCGCCCCGGATTGAGTGGGGCAGAGTACAATTGACGGGTTGTAATTATATCTCAAGATGCAATAAATAAAACAGGAGAGAATCAGTGATTTGGAGAAATGGGTTTGTTTTCGTTTCCATCGGGGAAGGGCAGTGAGATACCGGTATCCGACCAGCATACCTCCACAAGCCCACCTTTCCAACCAACCCAGCCGTTACGCCTTAACTAGCATCGTGCCGTCACCTCTGCCCCCACCGTGCCCTTCCAAAGATCTTTTGCTGACAGTATCATAGTTCAAGTTAATTTGCCGTATGATATTACCGGTATTATGGTATACCGGTACTCGAGTATACACTTTTGCATGAGCTGCTCTTGGGGGGTGGCAGAGACATGCTAACGTGCTAATACGGGGTTTCCCGTACTTGTTACCGGGTTACTCTCCCCGCCCAGCATGGTTGTGGCGTGGATGTGTGTAGCTGAGTATACCACTCGAGTACGAGTGATCTGGAGTGAAGGTCATGTCGGGGAAGGAAAGAGAAGTGGTTCTATCGTACATGTGCGAGATGATATTAGATTCTCGATGATAAGTAGCGTGATAATAGCGGTATTGCTAGTACAGGTGGCAAGTAGCTTAAGCATGTAGATGTGATGAGGCGAAACACCATCATGAGAGTAGAGTACTACAAGATAATATTATTATAATAATAAAAAATGAGACAATCGTTGGCGGTAGGCTAGCTGTTGAGGAAGGTGCTGCTGCTACCCACTACTATGATACTACTACTTCTACTAGGGTGGTATCTTCAGTAGGGGCAACTAGAGCTAGAAGGTTACTAGGTTACTGGGAAGGAAACTCTGAAGTATGATAGGTAAAATTGAGAGGAAAAAAATAAAATAAAATAAAATAAAATAAACAGAAGAAAGGGTAGCTAATGAACGACTGCGGTAAAAAAAATTCGCAACATTACAGTAAATCTCTGTTCCAATAAAAGTTGAAAAGAAGAAAAGAAAAGAAAAAAAAATCAATCAAGGGGAAAAAGAAATAAAACCCTGCTATGCAACAGAAAGAATATGTGGTAGAGAGACTTTTTGTTTTCTCCACTCCTTGGTGATTCTCTTCAGTCATTTAGCAAACAATGAAACTCCGGATCCGTTTTGAACCCCCTCGCCCAATCCCCTGAAATTACAACCCGCAGTAACAACACCAAAACACCACTAATGCTGATTTCTTGCCAGTCCTTGTTTTGCTTTCATTTGCTGTGTCATTTGTTAGTGAAAGGGGGAAAAAAAGAGGAAAGAGGAAAGAGTTAGACACGCGGAGAGCTCAAATACCTCGATTCTTAACTTCAGCTGGCTTGTAACCTCGGCGGCCCGCTTCCAACTCTCAATGGAATCTGCACCACCTCTGTTTCCCGCTGCGCTTGCCCGTCCACTTTCAGTGCCTTCGCGTAAAGTTGGGGACATTCGGGAACCCCTGTCATATCCATTCTCCTTGTCCTCACCCGAAAATGTCGAAGCGAAGCTAAGGCGGTTACCGGCGCCCCTTCCTACGGAGTCGTTTCTTCCACTGTTGTAAGAGCCATTTAGGCCATTATCACGATAAACATGTTCCGAGATATCGGTAGGCGCCGGTGAGGTAGGACGCACCGCACGAGCCAGTTCCCGTTTCAAACGCTCCATTTCACGCTGCTGCTTATGAACAGTAGCTTCGGCAGTTTCCGCGTCAGAGCGGGCACGGACGAGTTGGGCTTCCTTGGCACGAATTGAAAGATTATCCCGTGTATGATCTTCAATCAGTTGAGCATTCTATTGGGTAAGATGGTAGGTTAGCTTGATTAACAGACTGATGAGTGGCAGCGGAGAGCTGACCTGAAGTTGCAGTTCATTGATTTCCTGAAACAATTTCGCCTTCTCTGCTTTCTCTTCTTGAATTTGTCTTGCCCATCTATCCTTCTCAGCTCTCAGCTCTTCTAATTCAGCCTTTTCCAGAGCGCTAAGGCCTGAATCGACCGCTCTTGCAGCGGGTGCCACCTCCTTAGCCAACGGCCGGCTAGCCAAACCTCTCCCACCAAAGGCCACCTTGGGTGCTGGCGGTTCTTCTTCTGGAGAGGGGGCTCGCGGTGCAGCAGCGCGCTTCGGTGAAGCTAGAGCACCTGAACCCCCTGCACCTGATGGTTTTTTCAACCTTAGACCCGTAGGGCCGGCTTTTGGTGCGTTCAATTTGCTTGGAATGGCCCTCGGGGGATTCATGGGTCGTTGAGGCTCCTCTGTGGGCGGTGGAGGAACTGCGGCTACAGGAGGTGCCTTCTTTTTCAATCCAGGTTTTCCGCCCAAGATCTTCTTCATAGGAGGAGCCTTCGCAGCTGGTGGAGGAGCAACTGGTTTCGGCTTTTCCTTTGCCTTGACCTCGGCGGTCTCAAAAAACTCCTTAATTTTAACCTTTCTGATTTCGTCTAAACCATCCAGGAATGGGTTCATCTGTCGTTCGCCCAAAATCTTCATCAATGTTCCCATAGCCTCAGCAGCTCCATCACGGGCAGGAGCTGTAGTGTCACTTAGAAGTTTTCCGGAGGCTTCAGCACTTGACTTGGATTCCGGTCCTTGGGCGGAACTTCTATGAGATAGGCCAACGACA